TAGTAGTGTTTTTGCATTTTAGTCTCTCGTTTCTCTGATTTCACAAACTACTTTAAATATATGAGCGCCATTTGTGTGATTTTCCCATTTTATGTTAGCTCTCGTAAAAAATAAAACTTGCCTTCAGATCATTTTTACTTAACTGTGTTTTATATTTAGGTCACAAATTCTTCTTTTATTTTATTAATTGCAACATGACGTACTGATTTTGTTATTTTCCATTTTTTGGGTGTTTCTCTTATTTCATGCAATTTAACCTTGTATCTTGAATTTATTTCTTCTTTTCAATTTATTTCTCTTTTAAATATGCTTAATTCATGTTTGTCCTTTCCATTTTTTTTTGTATACTTTTAGATTATAACTTTAATTTAGTCAAACTTTATTTCCTTTATTTTTAGTTATCTTTTATTACTTGTTTACCTTTATGTGCATTTGTTTTATTTTTTTTAAGTTTCATTTCCCTTAAATTTTGTTGTTAGCGTACTTTGATTTTATTTTCTTCATAATTACGTGACATGTGTTTTGATTTATTATATGTTTGTTTCTTCTCTTTCTTGATTTTATTTCCATCTTTGTATTTCTTTTTTTACCTTTTAGCATTTTTATTAATTAGTTCATATACTTATTTTGAATCTTTATGTTTATTTTAAAATGGATGTGTTTTTTTGTGCATTTATTTTATTTTTAGTCTAGGATTTTATACTCGTTTAATTTAATCATTGTTGGATTATTAATATTCGGGTTTAGTCCTTACTTAGACTTCTTTTAGATTTAGTCCCTAAACTTAGGTTTCTTTAGATTTAGTCCTTGAATTTTTAATTATTAATTGATCATAGGTAACTAGGATTATTAATTAGAGCCTCAATTTTAGATAGAATTACACTTAGTCTTTAAATCTAGGAAATAATTCGATTTGGCCTTCGCATTAACATGTTCGAGGGACCATTGTAGGTTAAAATGAATTAGGATTAATAATTGATTAAAACGAATTAGAATTAATATTAGAGACTCCATTGTAGGTTTAGTCCCCTAAGTTCTTTAGTTTTCATAATTTGACACTTTAGGTTAGGGAAAGCATTAATTAATTACCTAGCATAATTAGGCTTAAATAATTGATCGTTTGATTGCATCATAATTTCGATTACTCGAGTCAATAATTGGTTAAAATGAATTAGGATTAATATTAGTGATTCCACTGTAGGTTTAGTCCCCTAAGTTCTTTAGTTTTCGTAATTTGACACTTTAAGTTAGGGAAATCCTTAATTAATTACCTAGCATAATTAGGCTTAAATAATTGATTGTTTGATTGCATCATACCTTCAAAACAAGGCAATGTTCATTTACCAACGAGTTAATAGTGTATCCTCCGCATTATGCTCAGGGGTGACCACTAGTAATTCCCGAAAGTAAATCGGCATACTTTTCAAAACCTTGCATACATAATGAATTTTAAATTAAATAAAATATCGAACTCAAAATTTTCTAACTTTTAAATATAGGGTAATCGACTAGGTACTGATTTCTGACACTATGGGGCGCTAATCATTCCCCACGCGTAACTGACTCCCGAACTTGATTTCTAGTTTTCACATACCCAAATTTGAGTATTTTTGATAAAATAAAATGTTTTATTAAAATTGCTTGATTTTTTATGTCCCAAACGCACCTTAAAAATGATGTGACAACTTTCAACAATTCACAAATCATTTAAAAGAAAACCCAAGTCGTATTAGTTTTTCTCTATCTGGGCGAAAAACGGTGTCGACAAATGACAAGGCAAATAAAGGGAAGAAAAAGGGATCCAAGCGCTCTAGTAATGGCTGTGTTCCCAGAATTGAAGATTTTGAAGAAGATGAAATGAAAGAGGTTTGTTATGCTTTTCACTGATTATGATTATGTTGCCTTTATTTCATTCCTTTATATGCAATTTATGTCTCCGAGCCTTGGTAAATTAGCAGGGAGCTATCATTGTTCCCTACAATTTCTTGTTACTGCAAGATTTGTCATTTGGTGCTTGCTATAGAGTTGAGCTGAGCTTGTGACAAACACTGCCTGTCACAGGTTTTGTTTGTTAAGGCGTTTAAACAACCTAAAATCTCATACAAGAAGTGGAAAAGCGATTTTCATTTGCTTTGACCTTATAAATATTTTGGTATCTCTAAATCTTGCAACCTGTACTCAAAATTCCATCTTCTGATATCAACTACTACTCACTTAGATTCAATTCCCTGTCAGCCTGGTGCTGAGATTTTTTTATCCTCAATCTCTTAAAATCGTAAATGATATGCGAGTGTAACTGATGATGAGCCTTTTGCAGACTGACAAGTTACCTTACTTTTCTTGGCGGGTGGATTCCTGGATAAAAGATGAGGCTGAATTTCTTCGTGTGGCAGTTGGTCACGAAAATGAATCTCTTGATGATTTTGTTGAATCACAAATACTTGCTTAAATGATCTCATGTACTTCCCTACTCGCCATGCTTATGGTCTATCTAGTGTTGTTGAAAATGCTGAGAAACTTGCAGCCCATCAGACTGAATTTGACAATGTGAAAAAAGATGGATAATGATAAGTCAAATGCAGAAGGCATGGAGAAGAAGTATAGTGTTCTCACACAGGATTATGAGGTGCGCACTAGACACCGTCATGTTTATTTTAATTGATTTTTTTATCATGCATGTTATAATCTCTATTATGTAATTTCTGCTATTAGATTTCTATGAGAAATTTGGTTGTTCTTAATAACATTTACAGAAGTCTATATATTTGTTTTCTTTAATATGGTGCTTAGAACTAAACCATTTGGTGATACTTAATGGACGATAGTTGCTTCTATGCAGCTTCTTTGAAAAAATATTGATGAACTCACTGTTTTTATTTTACTCGATGTTTGAAATGGTGCATCGTACTTATAGTGAGGGAACTTGATTGAAATTGTAACTCTTTTTGTGCTGAACAACTGAAATTTCAATTATCAGAGACGAGCTGCAACTCTTTGGCATCAGATTGAGTCGACCATTAAGCAGATAGAGACTGTAGGAACAGAGCTAGAAAGGAGCAGTTAGCAGCATCACACAGAATAAATGGTCTCTGGAAGGAAATTCAGAAACAAAAGGAGCTTGAGCAAACCTTGCAACGACGCTACGGAAATCTCTTAGCTGAAATGGAAAGGATACAAAAGCTCATTGATGGAAACAGAGTACAAGCACAAAGACGAGAGGAGGCAGCTGAGAAGGATTGTGTTCTTGAGCATTCCGAGGAGACAGCTGAGAAGGAACGTGCTCTCGAGCCGTCCGAGGAGGCAGCTAAGAAGGATCATGTTGTTGAGCCATATGAGGAGGCAGCTGAGAAGGATCGTGCTCTTGAGCCATCCGAGGAGACAGCTGAGAAGGATCGTGTTCTTGAGCCGTCTGAAGAGACAACTGAGAAGGATCGTGTTCTTGAGCCTTCTGAGGAGGCAACCGTGAAGGATCGTGTTCATGATCCCTCTGAGGAGGCAGCTGAGAAAGATCGTGCTCTTGAGCAGTCCGAGGAGACAACTGAGAAGAAACGTGCTCTTGAGCCGTCTGAGGAGACAGCTGAGAAGGATCGTGCTCTTGAGCGGTTTGAATATAGAATATGCACTCTTGACCGGGTAGTCTCTGTTGATTGTTGTACATGTTCTCATGGGTCTATGGGTTTCTTGCTTAGCAGTCTATGTATCGGTTGTTAGTTGGTTTTCTTGTTCTATACGTTGGTTAATGAAATCTCTCAAGCACTCTTTTCCCCTTCAAAAAAAAAATAATAACTTTAAAATTTTAATAGATTGTATTCTTTACTTTCCTTTTGGAAATTAGAGTGAAATTTAAAGATAATATTTGTATTAATATATAATAAACATATTTAATTTTAAGTAAATTGTGTATTAATATATAATAAACATATTTAATTTTAAGTAAATTGTGAATTTAGAGTTAAAATAAACAAACTTAAAAAAATATGATATAAAAATCTCGATTCATTTTATATTTCGCATAAATTTTAATAGTGAAACAATCTAAGGAAAAGAACATATCTCAAACCACAGTTTGCAGCCATTTACAATTGAATAACAATCTTTATATGCATAAAAAAAACAATTGAATAACAATCTTCACCACAGCAACAAACAAACATTACATTGTGTTCGTTCGGTTTCGGATTGTTGTGTACTCATCAGCACTTTGCCAGTCATCGTATTTCATTTGAATCGAGTTTTACTCGCTCCTAATAATACTAACTAATAGGGTAAATTTTGGGTTTTTTTTTTACTTTCCCTTCTTGATTAACCCTAATGGGAAGCAACCAACCTATGTAACTTGGCTAACCCCAGCTCTTAAGATATTGTATACTTTTCGAGAATCCCTATTATTTTCCAAGTAAAAAATGTATGGTAAAAAAGAGAGGAAAAAAACTTTTTCTTCCCTCTCTACTCCATGTATCAATGTTTATCTAATTTGTGATTCGTTCTAATTTGCGAAACGAGTATAGAATTGTATTTCGTTAATTTTACCATTTGCAGTTAGTTGGGAATGGAAGTGCAGCCTGAAAATGGAGCAATAAAACCCTGTTTTTTTTATAACTCAAACTTCGTATAATTTTAATTTTTTTTATTTTAATCTTAAAATTAAAAAAATATATCAAAATTGTCAACTATGACTTTGCCATAGTTGTTGATAGTTGTCAAAGACTTTGGATATTGGTGTATCAATCGCTATATTTTCTTAAATTATTTCTTATAACCCATCATTTATCTATTTTTTTGTTTGGGTAAATTACAAATTTGATAACTAAACTTTACACTGTCTCCTATTTCACTAATTGTACTTTAAATATTTTCAATTTCCTCACTGACTTAATACATTAATTTAATACATATAATAGAGAAAACTGAATTTTAAAACAGATATGTAAATTTGAATTCAAAGATTCCGATCAAGTTGCCGTCCAAAAAATTTATGTTGAAATTCAGGGGCTTTATCTTTCGTTACAGAAATCCCATAGGTAAATTACCTACACTTACCACTCTTCTTCTACCTGAAAGAATGGTGGACTGAATGAAAGCTGTATCATGGCACCATAAACATATTTCCAGAGACGAAAAAAATGTGGGAAATAGGCTCTCAAATCTCGAATCCAAATGACAAAAAAATTGATCATCGAGGACGACGACTGTCGATCTCTTCCTTGAGTCGAGCCACAAGGTCTACATACATTGGTGGCCTTTTGTCACTTAAAATGCGACACAGTGAGTGTAATTCTTCAGAGTTTGCCTTCTTGAATAGACCTCTGAGTAGTGTGTCAACTTCACCGGGCAAGCAATTGCTCCGAGGAGGCCCTGCATTATCTTTTTCCCCGGATGTTCTAAGAACGTTGCCACCATTAGCAGTGGGGTGAGAATGTAGTAGAAACTGCACTTGAAGCCGTGAATAAGGCCGAGAGTCCCAATACTTCGTACAAACTCGAGTGCGGTCCATTGCCTCAATGGCCTGGTTTATGTTAAGCATACGGTCAGGGGAGAAAGCATTTACCATTAAGTAAAATTTTAAGCCATTAATAGACAATTCATCAAGGGAGGGGGAGAAGCAGTTAAAACAAACTAAGCTGAATTTTTTTTCATATCAACTGCAAACCAGCTAACTTCTATATTTGAAGTTAAAATTCATCGGTATTCGAGGTGAAATATCAGGTTGTGTTGGGATGGCTAAACTGTCGAAAATCAATAATAAAATGGAGGGGAAAAGGCGGTAGAGGAACAAAAACATAATCTACAAACCTGAACAATTTCTGGTGAAGTAAAACCGAACATCTCATAGCCATCAAGGCTGCCGGGAGGCTGCAATGGTGGAAGGTTGGTCTTTCCTTGTCTATGTTGCTTCACTATCTCTTGATTCACTTTCTCCCGCACCATCTCCCAGCATCTGGCAGCTGAAACATGAACGAATACTTCACTGAGACAGTGCTCCACAGATACCTGAAACCGAATCAGCATTAAGGCCATGCATGATTAAAAACATCATGACAGCATTTTCCGATGTTATATAATATAGATTGAAGAATAAAAAGGTAAGCGGGTGTAATTAACAAGATCGTGATACATAAACATAGTTGATAGAATAAAATTTTCAATTACCATGAACAGAGGTCCATCCCTCCCTGCATCCAATATTTCTGAGATATAGTAAGCCATATTTGTTGGATCTAAAACACTGATATACCTAACCCGGCTCTTAAATCCTGCATTCATTAGAACAAATAAGTAAATACATGTGGCTGTCCATACTTAGCATATTGATATTATAAACAACCACGCAACAAACCTTTTGGGAAAATGGCCTGGCTGTTACACCATAACTTCCCAGAGAGCACAGCTCCAAATTCCAAAGGCTCGACATTACAGTTGATCCTACGCACCACCTTAGCAATGCGAGGACCTTTCTGCCTGACATTTCTGTCCAGATTATTTTGAGAGCAAGATGGCCCTTCTACATTACTTCTTGTATTGTCAATTAAATTTGCCGAGGCAATGGTCCCCACCTTCTCATGTTTATCCTCGTCAACTTTTTCACCTCCCAAAGGCAGAAGATGCCAAAAGTTGCTTTCAATAGTCGATGGTTTATTCTTGTTATCATCCATCTCTGTGGTATTAGAAGAATCCTGAACACCTTTACCAGATTCTGTAGTGACAGATTCTAAATGTAAAGAAATATTCTGGTGATTAGATCCTACTGTTGTGATACTGTTTTCAGCATGCTCATCTTTCATGTGAGAATAATCAGATGAGCAACTAGTCCTCCGTACATCAGGGGAAACGGAATCCTTTTGATTCATAACCACAGCATCAGTTAGAGGGGAAATTAAGAAAGCCTCATTCTTGTAATTACATGTGCTCGCTTTTTCACCAGATGATGCCAGCCTCAGGGAGGCTTCTGAATGCTCTGTGCCAGAATGTTCTTTTGGCCTTTCTGAAACTGGTTTCTCAGGCTCATCACCTTCATCGTCACTAAGAACAATGGTATTATCATCTCGTGGAGCTGAAGCTTTCTTCACTCTACTTGCAGCAGTAGTTTGGCCTCCAGGAATGCGTAAACTTGAAGCAGAAAGAACTGACTCCCCTTTTGTCAACTTAGAATTTGAATCCTTTGAAGTCTCTGATAGTTCTTTGGAGGAAATGACTGCTGGTTTTGGCACTTCTTTGGATACTCCTTCCAGGGTATGGGGTAACCTACCACCTATATTGTCCTTGGTTACATATGAACTCAGGGCCAGCCCAAGGTCTAGTCTTGCCCACCTATATACGGCACTTAGTTTTCCTTCCACTGCTTCAACAAGGATATTTAATTCATTTATATCATATCGAAATAGGAAAATTGTGGCACCTGAACCACATGAACAGAACTGTTTTGCATGTCTCAAGCATGCATATCTATCAGGGGAGCAATGACAACCAGCTGCAGAAAGGTGCAAATCAAAAAAACATATACTGCATTCTCTCTCACTGGTAGCATCAAAATTGCTCTCCATTTTCACAGCCTGAGAAGAACTGCAAACAATTTCCCTGCTCAGACGCTCCGTCTCAACACGTGCCTGTGGGAAAGAAACATATATTAAGTCGGTCAAAATCAACCAATATAAGCATTGCTTATATGCTAATAAGATTACTAAATAAATATTACAAGAATCTAGTAAACATGGATTCTATTTATGAATTTGAAATTAAATTAAGTACGAGATATGATTTGTTTTATCAACATAAAATTGACTTCAAGTAGTTTTGCAATTGAATACTAAATCCAAATCCAGGGGTAAATTAATATTTTGTACAAAATGAACTTTGCACATGCACAAATGGCATTATGAGGTTATGTGTCTATGTGCACATATACAATAAACATGAAAGAATACATGCATGCAGCATGAATGCACATAAATATTTAGAGCTCATAATCACAAGCTTCTTAATTATTAGAGATTTTGGATCAATGATTCTCTAGAGATCAGACTAGTCCAAAACCACTTGAAAAGTTTACCAAACATAAAATTTGAATCGGCCACAAAAATATAGCTTAAGAATAAAATTTACACGGTTCAAATCCAGATCATGTACAGAGATTCTGAACTGACTAAATAAGAATTCATAAAATCATACCCAAAATGTCAAGCCCAAAGACAAATAATGGACATAACTTACCTTGAGAGTTTTAGCTAAAACTCCATCCTCTCCACATAAACCTTTCCATCTTAAGTTATCAGAAGTATACTTCTTCAGTAAACTGAGTTCCCAATGGGCTTTGACTGCTTCCCTTGCTGCTCCAAGCAACAATCTATCATGTGAGATGGAAGTTTTCCTTCCCTGTTCACGGTATAGCTCAATGGAAATCTGTCCATGTGGCAACCAGTCAACGGGAGCTACATTCACTGCTTCTGCACAATTGAAACCACAGTTGAACCCCGCATGATATGCTCTAGGGAATGTCAGAACAAAATCTCCAGCATTCTGAACGCATCGATAGACAGGTACCCCTTCAGATTTTAGTATGGAAGGGGAAAGCTGGGTGACCTGCATGAAAGAATGACATTCAGGGCATAATTGGTATCGTGCAGTGGAATATAAACAGTTGGATCTTTTAGCTTACCAGTTTGTGAAGCAGGTCAGGTTGTTCATCAAAAAGGTCAGGCAAATGTTTTTTCATAACCTCCTCCAGTTTAGATGCATGCTTTCCAGGGATACCATACCATATTTTTGGAGCACCCCAATGCATATAATTCAGTGAGTATAGGTGGTGATCTTCAACATGCTAGACCCGTCCAACAAATGGGAAAAGAATAGCAATATTAGCACCCTCAGGTCATCCTTATATTGTCATATGTAAGTAATGACCTTAAATGCGACTTCAATAGCTCAAAAGTTTTAAAGAACCATTTGTTGGCTGACACCCAAAAAAACATAAAACTAAATCCACAAATTTCTGCAGTGGACCAGGTGGCATAATATTTTGTTAAGGGTTTCTTCCATTATTATGCTAACAAATTCATCCAGGGTTTCACATCAGTACCATTCTGGAATCACTTTTCAGGCAAGTCAACCCCTTAACTATTCTTATTATTCCAAATTGCAGGCACGCAATTTATGGAGAATCAAATGGGGTATAAAGTCACCCAAACAAAATAAATAGACATGAATTTCATTTTTCACAAGCTAGACTAATACAAAATTATCAGAATACCAGAGCCGAGATCAACTCATGCAAGGGGAACGGAAGTTTATAGCCATAGAAGTCTTATCCAACAAAAAGCTAGGCTAACACAATATCAGAGTTCGACTCATATTACAAGGGGGAAGGAAGTTCATAGCCATATAAGTCTTACCCAACAAAAGGATGAAAAGCACATTCCCACATACAACCAGGGAACCAGAACCCCCGAAATATCACTGATCTCATAGTTGAGAACAGATCCAGGAAGCCTGGGGAAGTTATTCAAGTTCCAGCCAGATTTTATGTACTTCTCACTGGATGCAAATCCAACTTGACTGGACTTGTTAGGAAACCCACTGCCAAATACCCCAGTTTCCAGATCAGCCCCATATAAGACCTAAAAAATAAAAGGAGTATAAGAATTAGCAACTCCACTTCGCAACTGGTTTAAAGAGAAAGAAAGAAAAGAGCAGATAAGAAAACAACTGGAGTTTGATTGGTCTAGTTGGAATGTTAAAAAAACAGTTTGTTGGTGTGAGGTTTTCTAAAATACTTTATCAGAATGAAATTGTTTGAACTAACTATGAATAAATTTCTTTTGTCCACTTGAAACTCCATTGACTTTGTCTACTAACTTCTCCCAGCGACACTTCCTAGAATATTCCATTTGGAACCTCCTAGGCTCCAAAAACTCATTTCAGCTTTTTTGAAAAGCTATAAAAAAAGGTTTTCTCAAACTCCTTTTTGGTCCAACCATAGCTTCCTGGAGCGGGAAAGTTACTTCAATAGCCCAGGCTATCCAGCGCTAAGTAAATTAATCAACAGAAAGGAAGGAGAATTTCCCAAACTCACAAATCTTACCTCTATTTCCTCAGTTGCTTTCTCCACTATGCGCCAGTATTCACCCTCAATATTCTCAACTGAAGGTTCATGGTGCTCTGGAAGAATGGTCATTTTACCTTTCATATCAACATCATTTTCCTTCCTCCTAAAGTACTGGGCCTTGAAATCATCGGCATACTTCTGAAACTTATCCAGAGTAAACTCTGGACCAGGTTCAAACCCAAACCTCTCTACTTCACAAAATCCAGTATCAGAAGAGCATGAAATATTTCCACCATCAGACCCACAGTCTACAGCCTTTCTAATGCATCTTCTCCTTTTCCTCCTCATGCTGTTATTAACTTTTGACATTTTTCTCATTGAGCCACGATTCTGAAGCTTGTCAACCCTCTGCACACGAGTAGCAAATCTAGAATTTTCCCATACATTCTTTTCTTTTAGAGGACAAGGAGGCTTCCAAGAAGGAGGAACAATGCGACAGATTCCAAATTGTTCCGCTTTTGGTCGTATGCTAGCTATATACTTCAACGTATCTTCAAACTCCTGCAGGACCATTATAAAACCAGATAAGATATTCAATTCTACAATGCAGAACTGCAGATTTGATCAGTAACAACTATGGGAAGCGAATTATGATATTCAAGCAACTCAAATATTATAAGCAACATTAAATACCTTTTCTGTTGGATAGAACACAGGTGCATCCACAATGCCTGGTCTACATGCTGCTTCTGGATGCCATCTTGCAGTTACCTGTTCCACCACATTACATATGAATGAAATAATATTTGAAGACAATGGTTATAAAGGGAGAATATTATATCAATTATACAATCTGAATTGCATTGTCTAGCTCCTTCATAGGAGCTACAATTACCCGTTATTGTCATTTTAAGCTACTTTACAATTAGCCATCATTTAACCCTGCCAAAACCTTAACTACAAGGCATTTCCAAGTAATTCTTCCATCTACAATGTTGTTACTATAGAGGATAAATATAACAACAGTATTGTAAAGAATGACAGTAGAGGAGCAGTGCTGCCTGAGGCAGATAATGAAATATTTAAAAAGTTTACGAAACTAGGAAAAAACAAAAAGATGAAAAATAACCTTTTGGCAATCATTACACTCTGGAAACCCACGGATAACGCCTTTAGGAAGATTATGTATCAATCTATGATTCTGCAAACATGAATGAAATATATGAAACTACGAAGATGTAGAATTGACATAGAGTGATGACAGCATAATGTTTTGCTAAAATTTCCAATACCAGCATCCAAAACTATCAAACGAAACAACTTTTTCAAAACACAAAGAAATGAAAACAGAAGGTCCAACAAATATATTAAAAGAAAAGAAAGCAGATGTTCAAATAAATAAATTACAAGAAAAGAATAAACTAACTTGGTCAATCTTTCCACAATCAGGCACATCATCTTCACTGCTATCATATATACCACAGTTTATCCAAGGTCTTCGCCTCATAGATCTCGTGATCTTTGCGCTTTCATTAATTCCCAATTCATCTTCCTTTGAGGCAGAACTAGCATCAGAACTACTTGCAGTTGCAGAGGCAGAACAATACTTTACATTATCACTCTCGAGTTTTACAGAATCTTGTGCTCCCCTTGTTAACGTAAATGATGCATATGACTCAAAACCCGGCGGAACTGGGGGGAAATCATCGTTCTCTTCTTTAACACAAACTCTCATAAGTTCTGTCCCCATCTGTATTGTTACACAACAATAAATGACACGTCAAACACAACATTCGTATCTGGAAAAGAAACAGGTGAATACAAAACAGGCCTACCTTAAAAATTAAAGAATCAATTCAGCAGTCCAACATCCAAACTATAATTCTGAACTGCCGTAAAAGGAATTTTTATCTACACGGAAACATAAAGCAAGTATTAAGAAAACAAATAGATGGTTACCCAAATGAACTTTAGCCTTAATCCTGTATAAGCCATTTCCTGACTATTCTCAGCTGATAGAGCAAGAGAGAGAGGCCAAATGAACTTTAGCCTTAATCCTGTATAAGTTTCATTCTCGCTATGTTCGTAAGGATCAATTCTAAAGTATGCTGCCAAGCCTAACACTTCGATGCACAAAAAATCATATTTTGTTTGAGTCATGCATACAATGGTTACCCAAATCCTAGAAACATGACATAGATAATAGACAAAATCTTAGTTTTGCATCTAAACAACTGAAGTTACCCAAAAACCGGTGATGCATTCAATAAAACTCCCGATCGAATTACTAATATAGCCTGATTAGATGAAGCAACAAAACTAATGCCTTCTTTTTATATATATATTTGATTAAAACCAGGGAAGTGCTAATGCAGTTGAAATCGAAGTGATCTGATTAATTGATTACTTTCAAAAACATGACCTATCGCATGTGTAATGTTGCAATCAAACTTCTGAAAATACTGCTTCTAGAAAGTTATACATAACAAGAAAATAACAGATTGCAGGCCCTTCTTGGATCAGAAAATTTTTCTACAACAAAAATCATCATCAGTAACATCCAAAAATTCACATGCAATAAATAAGATTAAACATCAACTTCATCAACATATTTTTCAACTTCTTTTTTATATGGGATAAAATCAGGAGACTGAAACAGAATTTATGACACCTAAATGTCCAGCAAAATCCATGATCATCATGCATTACTTTCTCAATTGATTAAAACAGCTCTAAACCCTAAAAGATCGAAAACATTTGATTTGATAAAAAAATATAATAAAGCCCTTCAAATTCTGAGTTACCATTTTAAGTTATCATCACACACACACAAATGCAAGCAAAAAAAATCCCCAAAAATATAGGAAAAAACTAGATAAGTTAAAAAAAATTGGAGCTTACATGATCCAAAAGACATCTGTAATTTGGCATCACTTCAACATCTCAAAAAAGTCTTTTTGACTACACCAATGTTTTCATTAAAAAAAAGGGGAAAATCATGAATATATTTCTAAATTTGAAACCACAATAAAAATAAAAATTATAAAGTGGAAACAAAACACAAAGTTAAATCTGATTTTAAACAGATCTAAACCTAACTCTGACTCTAAAACACCACATAGCAACACAGAAAAAAAATTAAAATCAACAGAAAAAAAGAAGTTACTATTTTTACCATATAATAATATATTTTCTAAAATTCATAGTTTTACAAGGGAACCCCACAAATCCAAATATATGACCATCAAAACCACTACCTTCAAAATAAAATCTGGACGGAGACGAATTCCATGAAAACGGAGTGGAGATGATAGGCGTAAATACGGAAGATTAGTTAATTCATCAACACAGGAAATAATTGATTTTAATAAAATCTTTTTTACAATTAATTTGTTTCAGGTTTTTGTAAAGCATAAACGGTGTTTACTTTTCTTAAAGGGGTAATTTGGAGAAATGGAAGGATAAGGTGGTTTATTTTCTTTTTTTTTTCTTAATGCCCAAATAAGTGCTTTTTTATTCATTCGAATGTCTAACATTACAAACGTTATGTTCGGTCGTTAATATCGTTAGTTTTTCCCATTAAGTGCCACTTGTCAACACTGGTAATTTTGAAATTTATTTTTTATAAAAAATATTAAAAATATTATTATATTTATAAAAAAACCTAACTTTTTTTAATATTATAAAATAACTCCAAAATACTAAATACTAACCTTAAACCACCGTCGATGTCTTCTCCGGCCACCACCATCATCGTCGACGTAGTTCTTTACAGCATCCTAGTTATATGATGTCATAGTTGTCGTCAATTCACTGTCGAAATCGCGTAGAATCACGGTTTTCATAGATTTAAAATGTCAATTTGTGGTCGATTGATCGTCACCGATCACGATTTCATAGGAGTTATTGTCGGTGGGGGGATGGGAGGTCGGGTGGAGCTTCTTCGACGGTAAAGGGTGGTGATCAACGTGGGTTTAAGGGTTAACACGTGACACTTAAAGGAGAAAACTAACGGCGTTGATGAACTAAACACCTAAAAATGTAACATTTGTAACGTTAGGCGTCAGGATGGACCAAAAAACCGTAAGTACTTATTTGACACAAAATAAATAGTTTGGGCACTTATTTCGGAATAAAGCCTTTATTTTTTGGAAATGATATTAATTTGATTAAATTTACCTGTGGGCTACTCTCTTTTTGGGTAAACTAAGTATTTAGTATCTAAACTATCAGTTTTGGTCCATTTTAGTATTAAACTTTTAATATTTTCAAAATTATACTTGATATTTAGTTTTTGTTTTAATAGCCACCGTTAAAAATTTAACGAGTTTAGTACCTAAACAATCATTTTTTATCTGTTTTAGTACATAAACTTTCAATTTTTCAAAATTTAATGTTAGATTTTGAATTGGGATATTAAAATGAAAAAAAACTAAATTTTAAGTTTGATTTTAAAAAAACAGAAAGTTTAAATACCAAAATAAATTAAAATTGATAGTTTAGATACTATACACAAAATTTACCTTTTTGTTCTTGCGGGAGCCGTATGGAATGAATAATAAAGGTACACGCGGTCTGTCATCATCTAATAAGAAATGATCACGTGCGGCAATCTTAATATACGGTTAAAAAAACGTTATCGGTTTTGTTATTATTTAAATAATAAAACCGGTAAAAAATACCGCAAACATTATTATTTCTACCGGTTTTGTTATTTTTTCTACCGATTTTGTTATTTTTTTTCTACCGGTTTTGTTATTGTTGGACACTTTACCAGAAATATTAAAAAACATTGATGTTTTATATATAAATAATAATATTTTAAATAAATTTTTACCGATTTTATTATTTAAATAATAACAAAATGTAACACTTTTTTTAGTTGTATATTAAATGTGCCGCACCTAATAATTTCCCTTAACTAATATATGGACCGACCATTTCTATACGCTTCATTTATTTATTTATTTATTTAAATTTTATAAAAAATATTAAATAATTTTAGTGCTAAAAAGATGTTATATTTATTAAAGATTTTAAATTTAAAAAGTCGTGTTGTTAAATTATTAATAGTTTGAAAAATACTAAATAAATATTATTTTATGATTACTTTAGACTATAAAAAAGTTTAGGTAAAATTAATATTAAAATAACTAAACCTAATTTCATTAAATTAAGCATTGAGTCGTCATAATTTGGAAAAGTCTTAATATTAAAATAAGTGTTCAATTATATTGTTGTTTTAAAATAGGTGTCTAAACTATTTTTTGACTCATCCAGGTATCTAACGTTACAAATGTTACTCATTTCAGTTGTATGGGCCATCAACAACATCAAATTACACCGTTAAGTGATGCGTATTACAAACTAGTATTTTGAAGAAAAAAATATTAAAAATATTATTATATTTAAAAAAAATATGATTTCTCTTAAATTATAAAATATCCTACAAATCCCTAAAATCCCCAAATCATAACCTTAACCCGTCGTCGTCTCCTTTTCCGACGTTGCCCCTGCCATCCTCCTAGTCATATAATGTCGTAGTTGTCGCCGATTGGTCGACAGAATAGTGTGGGATCGCGATTTTCAACCTAAGGTTCACAAAGTGTAAAACGTCAATTCATTGTCGATCGATCACGATTTCATAAGGATTTTGGTCGGCGAGGGGAGAGGAGGTCGGGTGGAGCTTCGTCGATGATGAAGTGGCCAATGTAGGTTTAGGGGTCGAAATGAATGTTTTCAAAGTTTTAGGTTTATTTCAAAATGTGTTTTCTTTTTAAATATATATATATATATATATATATATATATATATTTAATTTTAAATAAAAAATTTAAATTTTTTATATTGTAACACATGTCACTTAACAGAGAAATTAATATTGTTAACGGTCCATACTTAAATGGACAACGTTTATAACGTTAAATACCTGGATAAGTAAAAAAATAATTTAGATACCTATTTAAAAAGAGCGATATAACATAAACACTTACTTTAGTATTAACCGAAAGATAATTTCAACAAAATCTTTGACCCATAATACACTAAAGAGAAAATAACCTCAGTGACCAAAAATGCCTTATAATATACGATTTTAACCAACTTTTTTTGGATTTTCAAAAATGACCAACTAAATCGCAATGCGAACGATAATTCGCAACGCGATCTCCAGTATCGCAAATCAGTTTCCAGATTCGCAACACGATTCTGACTATCGCATTGCGATTTCCCAAATCGCGTTGCGATTTTCCTAATTCGCAATGCGAATACGTAAATCGCAACGCGAATTTGGAAAATCGCAATGCGATTACGTAAATCGCAATGCGAATACGTAAATCGCAATGCGATTTACATAGCGCCATTTGTATTAACGCGTATTTTTTTTTCAAATTCCAAACACGAATATATTAATATATCGGAACACTGAACCGTCCACAGTATATCCCGTAATCGTAACTCATAACCTAAAATCCTAAATCACAACTCAGTCTCATCTTCATCTCTCACTCTCTAAGGCGACATCCGTCCCCATCTCCGACGAAATTAGTCCCCACGACGATAACAGTCTCCATCTCCGGCGAAATCATTCACGGTCAGAAATGGAAAATCAACCAAATCAACCACCGAGGGTTAGTTTTTTTAATTATTTTTATTTTTAAATTTTTACATTATTATTAGGTTTTTCATATTGAAATTGATGATAAGTTTATTGGTTTTTTCAATAATAGATTAACCATTTCACTTAGATTGCTTATTATATTCATTCGATTGCTGCCAATACTGCTAAACTGTTTAGTCTTTAACCCTGTGAAGTTAGTATTTGTCTTTGTTTTGTCTTTTGGTTGAAGTAATGCAATCCATTCAAGTTTCTTTCAATTTTAGTATTTGAAACCGAGAATGACTATCGCAACGAGTGAATCGCAACGCAAAAATGACTATCGCAATGCGAATTTGACTATCGCAACGAGAGAATCGCAATGTGATTTTCATTTCGCGTTGCGATTCTTGCGTTGTGATAGTCAAATTCGCGTTGCGATAGTCATTTTCGTGTTGCGATTTTCATTTTCGTGTTGCGATTTAAAGTTTCAGAAACTATTCTTCTTCTGCAAATTGAAACTTGAATGAATTGCATTACTTCAACCAAAAAACAAATACTAAATTCACAGTGTTACAAATTTAAGTTTGAAGAATAAACTACTCTTTATTGTTCATATCTTCACAGTGTAGTTTTTGGTATATCTAAATTGGTATGTTTATTGTTTTTGCAGAACTTTTATTCGGCTCAATTGACCTTAAGAAATAAAGTAAGCCTGACCAAAACAATTGCGTCGAAGCTTTCACCTGCACAAAGAAAAATATTTGAGGATACTTGCTTCGGGCCATGGCTGAAAGTACAACATCCGGGTGGAGATGCTATGTTGACCCATATGTTTCTTCAAACCATGACTAGCGATCTACCAGAGACTATACAACGTCGTGATGAAGAGATATGGTTTGATTTTCCACCGGCGTATACGTGTTTTGGGCGGGAGGAGTTTTGCTTAATCATCGGTCTACGCTTCGGACACGATGATGTAGATCGGTACACTAGACATATTACTCGCCTATCATGGTTTTCCCGGGTTTTTCCTGAGCAGTCAATGGAGAAGTCGAATTTACACGTAGAAGACTTGACGAGATTATTGAATAAGAAAGATGGTTTTACTCGGATGGATGACGTCGATGTTGTCCGAGTATGTCTTCTAATACTTTTGCAAGCCGACTTTTTAGGCAGAGAGGCCCGACAACCTATTCCTAATGATCTAATTAAATTGGTAGAGGACCTAAATGCATGGAACTTGTTTCCGTGGGGTTCGTATCTATGGAGAGCTACATGGAATAAGTTGTCGTCTGCCTTTAATGATCGGAAAAGTTTGCGTG